TCAGTGCCGAGGGAGCGCCGCACTGTCGGAGGGTCAGTGCCGAGGGAATGCCATACCTTCAGAGGGTCAGTGCTGATGACTGTGTGCTTTCAGATGGAAATGTTAAATTGACACTCCATGTCATCTAACGGGACCTAAGAAGTCCTTCTGAGCTCATGAAAAGAGAAAGAGTGGGGAGCCCTTCTATGACCTCGTTAATATTCATCCCTCGACCACTGACAGAATACCAGATGATCTGTTGAAAAGCAGGATGCGGTGTGATGGAGCTTGCTTCACGCCAGTGGCTACAGTTAATAAATATGATTTATGATTTATTCAGGAAATTCCAGTTAGTTAACATGGTACATGTTTACAGTGAACTTAAATAATTGCCATAAAAAATGTTGGAAGTAAATGAGTTGCTTGACAAGGCCCAATATCCATGTCTTTTCTAGAGTTGTTGCCTAGCTACTGCAACTTTGCACAAAATTGTCCCAGGGTACTGACTCCAATGACTCGGTTATCACTATTGCTTCCCTTGTGAATATTCCTGATTGCTCATAACTGTAGGAAATCATTGCTCAGAAACTGAACCGGACCGGCCAGATATCCTGTGGCTACAACAGTAGGTCAGAGGCTGAAAAGTTAATAACTCACCTCCTGACCCCCCAAAACCCGTCCACTTTCTACGGGAGACAAGTCAGGAGTGTGATGGAATACTCCCCACTTGCCTGGATGGGTGCAGCTCCAACATCACTCAAGAAGCTTGACACCATCCAGGACAAATCCAGGATTGGCACCACATCCACAAGCATTCATTCCCTCCACCACTGATGCTCAGTAGCTGCAGTGTGTACCATTCACAAGATGCACTGCAGAAACTCTCAAATCTCCTCCAACAATGCAATTTGCACATTGCAAATCCACAACTACCATCCGAAAGAACAAGGACACACATTTTGACTTGGAAATATATCACTGATCCTTCATTGTTACTGTGTCCACTGGAGTTCCCCCTCTAATGGCAATGTGGGCGTCCCGAGAGCACATGGACTGCAGCAGTTAAAGCTGGTGGTGAGAGGCCTTCTTCTCGATGGCAATTAGGAATGGGAGATAAATACTAGACCAGTCAGCAGTGTAGAGTCCATTAGGGAATATAACAATAGGTGCTTATTGTATTCATATCCTGATTTTTAAAAATGATATTGCTAATAGCATTCACATCCTATGAATGACGTTTTAAAGAAAATCTTGTGTGTTTCTACCATATCCACCTTTTCACTTAAACAAAATAGTTTAATGATTTGGATTTTCATTCGTCGCAATTGTCCTCTAGCCATTTATTGCCAGTGCATATTCAAGGTCAAACGGCGAACATTTTCACCACCCAGTGAAGATTCTGTTACATACAAAGCCATAATTTTCCTCTCCCCAACCCCTAATATTAATATATATCGTATAGTCTTTTACATAATTTTCTAGGGGTGACATATTTCAGCACATTGCTTGAAGGGAAACTTGGCTGACATGTGTTTTTTATGAAGTATCAGACATTGATGTCGAAAGAAACTAATTTATTAGTGTTACATTACCTCTCTGGTCTTGTTAAAGACATCTACAATATTAACCACACTCCAATAATGTTATAACTGAACCATGACAGAAAACTATAATCACAATTGCATCTGAAATTGATTTGTAAAGTCAATTTCTAGCACTCCTCCACACCACCATTTGTCTTCTACTGCTTGCCATCCCCAAATCATGGGTTGCCAAGTTACCTTCTTTCGGACTGTTCTGCAAAATAAAACTCAAATCCCACAGCTAAAAGTTGAAATCTATTTTTTCTCCCCTTTCATTCTTTGGTTTGGATTTATATAACACCTTGCAAAATCACAGAATGCACCAAAACCCTTTGTAGTCAATCAAGCCGCTCACCTCCCTTGGAAATATGTCACCATTCCTTCAGTATCGCTGGGTCAAATTCCCTCCCGAAGGGCATTGTGGGTCAACCTATACCACATGGACTGCAGCGGGTCAAGGCGGCAGTTCTCCAGGGCAACTAGGGATGGGCAGTTAATTCTGGCTATTGCCAGCAACACCCACATCCTATGAGAGTAGGAAAAAAAAATACCCAGTTCCAATGGCTCCTTATAGTTCTCAAGCCACATCATGTAGCCCAGTCATCCTCATGCTCCTTGCCAACTCAATGTCCACAGTTCTCTCCAGATCTGTATATAATCCCCCAAATGACAAGCAATCATTTTGTTAGGTCCTGATTTTTGGTGACTTTGCTGGTTTGATATCTTTATGTAGTTATGTTATTCTGTGTCAATATTTATTTTCACAAGTTTAAGAAGTCCTTTAAGCTTTTTATTTTCTTGTTGCTTTATATGATATGGGTATCTCTGGCTAGGCCAGCATTTATTACCCATTCCTAATTGTCCAGACAATAATTAAGAGTCAACCACGTTGCTGTAGGTCTAGGGTCATATGCTGGTCAGACCAGGTAAGGATAGCAGACTTCCTTTCCTAAAGGGCTTTAGTGAATCGGATGGGTTTTTATAACCAAGTCTTTATATTTAAGGTGCTTAATCCCCAACGTGTGGAAATTTCCTCTTGACAAACTGTATAGTTTCAACATTTGTGACAGTGGTCAGGTTTTTGAATTTGTTGTTTGCTGTGTCAAGGTAACTTGATGACAAATCAACAACCCATGTGTTAGTCTTGGGCCAACAGAACTTATTTCCTGGATTAAAACGTAACTGGCAAAAGGGTCAGATGAGAGATGAGAATTTTAATTTTAAGTTGTTATCCAGAATGCACTGCATGAAAAGGTAGAAGAAGCAGATGCAGTGATAACTTTTTAAAAGGAATTGGAGCATTGGTTGAAAATGATAAAATTAAAAACGTAGAATGAGCTAGAAAATAAAATTAGAAAGTAAAAAGTAAAGTAAATCATTCAAAAAGCCAGCTAAAGCATGAAGGGAGATATTCAGGTGGTTTTCTGCGCAGTACTGACGAAGGCTGCGCTGTAAAAGGGTTACTACTTAAGAGAATGCTGCAATGCAGGAGGCTCTGCACTGTCATAGCAGAAATAGCAAGGGTGTGCTACACAGCTGGGGGCACCACTGAGGGAATACCATTCTATCAAAGAGTCAGTACCAAGACACCACTGCACTGGTGAAGGTCAAGCAATGTTTTGAAATGACTCCAAGTTACAGAGCATGTAATGTGGAGACAAGTCAGGAATTCATTGGACTAATCAAGTCTCAGAATAAGTCCAGGAACAAGAGAAGGCAATTCAGCCCGTCATGCTTGCTCCATCATTTAATGTGATGATGCAAGATTGAACATTTCAATGCCTATTATCCATGCTAACCATAATCTTTTGCACCATTGGTGATCAGACATCTATCTACCTTTAACTTACACAGCCCTCTAGGGTACAGGATTCCAAAAGATCTGTAATTTTCTTGCCCAATTTCTAAGCTTGTCCAAATCCTCCTGAAAACATTTTTTGTTTTTCTCACAACACATTCCTGCTTAGCTCTATCATCTGCAAATGTAGAAATATTACATCTGGTCCCCATCTCCAAATTAATGATACATTTTGTGAACAGTTGGCCAATGAGAAAAGCCAATTTATTTCTACTGTCTGCCACAGGAAAGACAGAAAAGCCTGTTCGCCAGAGTTTCAGCAGCCAACCTGAGGCAGGGATGAATTAATGGAAATAGGTGGTCTTAGCAATAGAATGAAAATGAGGTTGGAAACTCATCTCAGGGTCAAACCTGATGCTAAATTTGCGAACAGATTCATCCTATTGATAGGGAGAGGAATGGGATCATAAGTAGGGAACTAAGTTTAAACAAGGATTGAAAACAGCAGCTTTTATCTGCCCAATAACTAATTGGAGGTTGGAGATTTCTGCTAATCCATCGCTGCATCAGTATCCAGTACAAGCCAGCAGTGAGACTGTTACAGAATCACACCATCTACTGGTTTAATAGAAAAGTGTATAAAAAGCCAACATTATTTCCATTGGGAAACTCAGTAAATCTTACTCAGTTGGTGCAGTGCTGATTTCAGGGAATGTAACAAGTTGGTCAGACTGCAGAAAAGGATTATTTAAACCTTTATTAAAAAATGTAGACAATACCATTCAGGGTTTAAAGTAATTTAGTAGCTGACTGGACACCAGGATTAATAATCAGGGAATATCTATTCAAATTACATGGAACAGTTTGATAATTTAAATTCAGTTTAAAAAATTGGAAATGTAAAAAACTGTTACCAGTAAAAATGACCACAAGGCTGCTGTATTGTCATAAAAGCTCAATTTGGTTTAACAAAAGTACTTTAAAAAAAAACGAACCTGTCGTCCTTACCTGTTCTTCCTTTGTTTGTCGCTGAGACACATACCAACATAACCTAATGCTAACTTCCCTGTGAGAGGGCCGAGCAAGTCAATGCATCAAACCAGTTCATAGTGAAGGCAGTCCATTCCTGCCTCCAGAAAAACTGTACTGACAGTAAATGTCGGTCTTATCAAACGACACATACCTCCTGATGAATCGTGGAATTATACACTACAAAGAGGGCCTTATGTCTGTGCTAGCTCATTGAACAAGTGTTCCAAATAATTTTATTTCCCTATTCTTTTGCTGTAGCTCTACAAAATATTTCAAGTACTGATCCAATCCCCTTCTGAAACTATTGAATCTGCTTCCATCGCTGGTTCAGGCAGTGCATTACAAATCACAGCAACTCACTGTTTCAAAAAAAAGACCTCATTTTCTCCCCTGCAGTTTTTCTTCTGCCAATTCCCTCCAATCTGTGTCCCTCTCATCACCGACTCTCCTGCCATTGGAAACAATTCACCTTCCGTACTCTGTCACACGCTTTTCACGATTTTGAACAGCCTGATTAAATCCTCTTTAACCTTCTCTGCTCTAACAACCATCCCACCATCTCCAGTCACCACATTTACTGAAGGCCCTCAACCCTTGGTACCTCAAAAAAAATAAAAAAGGATAGAGGAGGAGAAACTAAATTCAGGTACAGCCCACAAGTGGACAATTATATTAATGGCAGTATTTTGATTCAAATAAATATTTTGCAACAAAAGCAGCTTTAGCGCACAGAAGCCAAAGTTAAGTTCATATATCACAACAAAACTAAGTAGCCATCAGTCATACGTTGTATACAAACAGTAAGCTCAGTATTTATTTTTGGAATTGTGCAGCTGAAATGTATCCATGGACTGCTATTTCCGACACTAAATGCCCAATTACCCTCATAATTGGAATAGAAAGAAGGTGACTGTCTTGTTGAATTTTAGTGAACCATCAAACCTCCAGCATGCTTCACAAAAAAAAGAAAGAAAAGCTCAAAAATGTCTTCAGCATTGTAAACAAAAACACAACAGTGGTTTATAATTCAAACCAGAGCTACGGTCCGACAATCCTCTGGGCTTTTGCTCCACTCTTGCACTGTGACGGACCTGAGAAGTTACACCTGCCTCTCCAGTTAAACCAAAATTACATAAATCACCAACAGAATCGACTTCATTGGCTGTGAAGTTGTGAAGGGTGCAATGCAAGCACCAGTCCTTCCTAGTTTTCTATTAATCACAATACTGGGACTTGTCAGGGAACATATGCTTCCCTTTTAAGTTTCACTCTCTCTCAACTTATCCATGGTATCAGAACTTTTTGACGCCCCTCACCCACTTTTTTTTCTGAGCCCGTGTACTGTTTACTTTACCTATTTCCTAGGGGAGAATTAATCGCCTGTTACTGAGTTGTCCTGCTTGATTACTTCACCACCCAATCTTCCTACAATGAACCCAACTGTGTTGCAGTCACCATTCCCCAATTTTCTTCTACTTCCCATTAGCTATTTGTTCCATTTCCACTGCAGAACTTAATCAAGCAATGCTTCCTTCCTTGTTGGACTGGACATGCAGTGATTTAGGAAGCAGTGTTGCGTGCATGCTGTAAAATAACATGTCACACTTTAACCTTTATTCATTTGGATATCTGGCTCCAAATAATGGGATTCCCTCCCTGAATTTTCCACCTTTTTAAGACATTTCTTAAAACCTAACTCTTTAACGAAACTTTGGTCACCTTTTAATGTTTCCTTGTAATATGGCACCTGATTTTATTTGATGACACCAAGCATCTTGCGTTGTTTTACCACATTAAAAACACTGCATAAATGTGAATTGTTGGTGTCTTAAAGGACAGTCGACATTAATTGAGCTCGTTTCGCTGGGAATGCATTTGCAAAGTCAAGCAAATATATTACTTCCTGCACTATCTCACGTTATTCACAAATGATAGAGTAGAAGCTGTTCAACCCCATCATGCCGTGCTGACTCATTGAAAGAGTCAATCAGTCCCACACGCCTTCCCTTTTCTCATAGCCCTGCAAAAGTTTCCATCTTTCAAGTACTTAATTCAAATACAACAAGGAACATGTGAGACATACATTATTTAAACACCTTCATCTTATGTTGCCTTCACCAAATGAACACTTGCAGAAATTTTCAACCAACTAGACCTGAAGTGTCAGAGTCTCACCCGGCTAATGTTACTTAAAATGTTCATTTTGTTTTTAAATGAATAAGGATAAAATTTACATCACCAAAAAAAGTCTGAAAAAAATAGACCCATATAACTGGGGAAAAAAGAATCAGAACTTTGATTAAATTATCTCAATTGTTGATGGATAGATTATTTTTGGAGACAGCAGTTGAGCCCTTCAGGCTCTCCAACTGTGTTGTGCGCAAGGGCTGCAGTTTTCTTCAATTTCATTCTGAGGATTAAAACGTCATGATCATGCGGTGCCCATCAGAAATGAGAGGTCACTCTCGCCATCATTATGGGTTGTAATCCCGCCATTTCCTCCTTCCTTCTTGGTAGCTTTCTGTCTTCTTCTGCGAACGTACACACAGGCAGGGGTGCTCACATTTTCATCCAGTTGTCCAGCATTCTCTGGAGCACTTAGAGCAGCTACAATACCGGCGTAAAACCTAAAATTCAAACAAGAATCAAAATGGTGAGGAGACAGTTTAATAAGACTTAAAAAGAAAAACTGTTTCCACTGGCAAGAGAACGGATAATTAGACACCAAAGATTTAATTTCTTTTGACAATTATCAAGGTCGAGAGATTTTTTTTGAAAAAAAGTGTGATCTGGACAGCGCTGCCTGAAAGGACAGTGAAAGCAGATTTAATAACAATTTTCAAATAGGAATCAGAGAAATCCTCAAAAGAGGAAAATTTTATAGGGCTATGGAGGAAGATGTGGAGAGTACAACAAATTGGACAATTCTTTCAAAAATTGTTGGTGATAGTACGATGGCCAAACAGCCTCCTTCAGTTCAGTAAGAGTATTGAAGTACTCCATATAAAGGCACTGAGATGCTGGAAAGCTCCAAACATACCCACAAAATTATGACAGCAGATCAAAGATTTTAATTGTACCACCCTAATTTTTGATTTATTAAAACGTTTGTAAGTCAGGTGGCTTGGTGCTTTAATGTCCCAGTGTGAAATAAAAATCAGTGTGTCTGCTAACGCCTGACTGCTGTACTCTGCCACCTTGCTGCAGTGTGCAATCCCTTTAAAGGTTTATGTACATTTCCGTTAAAAATGACACGTTGTGTCTAGATGTGACCTGCTTGTTTTTCTTATGGCACATTTCTGATTGCTACGTAGTTTACAGGAAACACCAGTTAAGACATGACTGAATTTGGAATTTTCCACATAATTGGCTCCGATATCACAGGAGGGAAAGATAAGTAACCCAGTTGTTGGGATTGTTGGAAAAATTCAACTTCAGGGAGGAAAATCTGCCATCCTTACCTGGTCTGGTCTACGAGTGACTTCAGTCACATGCTAGTCCAGTTGTTTTTTTTAAAATTGGTTCATGCAATGTGCCTATCACTGGGTGGGCCAGAATTTATTGCTCATCCCCAATTGCCTTCAGGTGATTACTTTAACCTTCCTGAACCTCTGCAGTCCACTGGTGGTAGATGCACTCACAGTGAGGGCTGTTAAAAAGGTACCTAATTGCCCAATGAACTGGGTTAGCAAGAAACTTAATTGTAAAAGGAAAACAAGAGATAAATGCTTGCATTGTCAGTGATGCCTACACCCCCAGAAAGAATGAAGAAAATGAAACCAAGGTTGGTGAGATCAGAGAGCTTTTAGAAGGCATTATTCACAAGAAACAATTTACAGAGTTGTGGGACTATGCTGGATAGCCCTTTCAAAAAACTGGCACTGGTAGGACAGACTGAATAGTCCCCTCTGCTGTACAGCTCTGTGATTCTAAAGTAATCTTAATGAATGGTCAACTTGCACAAGTTCATCTGGAACAGCTTGTCTATGTCATTATGGCCAGGCCATTTGCATGTCTTGTAGACTAAAGAAAATGAGACAGAAATATCATCGCACAAAATCATAACTCGTTTTGATTAAATTCACAAGTCAGTATCCCGTGCTTTTAAAAGATTAGGTAATGAAAACTCATATGTGTTAGCTGAGGCTCAGTGGGTAGCAAGTTCTCAGAGACGGAATATTGCAGGTTCAAGGCCCATTGCAGAGACGTCAGTTCAAAAGTCAGGCTGCTACTCAGTGTTGCATTGATGGAGAGTTCATCCCTCAGATGGCACATGAAACCAACATACGGTCTTCTTTCAGTCAAGGCAACAAGAAAGATACTAATGGATATTTTGAAGAACAAGGGAGTTCTCCTTCGTGTCCAAGGCAACAGTTATCCCTCAATAAAGTCACAAAAACACATCATTTGGACACTGTCTTATTGTGGGATCTTGCTGTGTGTGAATTAGCTGCCACATTTCCTACAAGAGTGCAACATAAATGATTTTAACATTGCCATAAAGTTCTTCATCCAACTCATCCACATGGACCAAATTTCCCAAACTAAATCTGTCCCATTTGCCTGTACTTGGCCTACATCCTATCAAACTTTTCCTATTCATCTATTGATCCAAACGTTTCTTAAATGGTTGTAACTGTACCTAAATATCTCAATATCTAACCTTGTGTCGGAGAATAACCATAAGACACAGGAGGAGAAGTAGTCATTTAGCCCATTGAGCGTGCTCTGCCATTCAATAAGATCGTGACTGATCCGATAATATTTAATTCCACTTTCCTGCCATTTTCCCATAATCCTGGACTCCCTAATTGATTAAAAACTTGTCTATTTCTGCCCTGAATATACTTAACAACACAGACTCTACAGCAAATAATGCCATATCTTCACTATCCTCAGAGAAGTTCCTTCTCATCGGTCTTAAATGTGTGACACTTTACTTGAGATTATATCCTTTGGTCGTAGACTTTCCAAAATAATATCAGCATTTACCGTGTTAAGCCCCCATTTAATACTGTATTCTTCAATAAGTTCTCTCATTCTTATAAACATTAATGAGTAAGGGCTCAACTTGCATAATCTTTTAGAAGACAGTCCCTCTATACCTGGCATCAGCCTGGTGAACCTTCTCTGGATTGACTCCAATGTTAGTATATCTTTCCCCAGATAAAGAACCCAAAACTGTTCACAGCATTCCAGCTGTGGTTGGACTAGTGCCTTGTATATTTTAGCAAAACGTCCCTACTTCTTTACTCCATTTTCTTTGAAATAAAGGCCAACATTCTGTTTGCCTTCTCTATTATCAGCTGAACTTGGAATCGGACGTGTTTGCGGGTAATTTCTGACTGCACATTTCACCACCTTTTATTTCATTCTGCAAAAGATCGTGAAAGAAGCCATCTTGCAAGGTTTTAAAAAAAGTTTGACATTTATTGCTTCCAATTTGCATGCTTTTGGGTGCAGCAGAGTCTTTTGTGATTCATGTACAAGGACCCCCTAAATCCCTATGCTGCAGCTTTCTGCAGTTTTTCCCCATTTATATATTCAGACCTCCTGCCAAAGTACATTACCATACATTTCCCACATTCTACTTCAACTGCCAAGTTTTCACTCAATCTGTTTATGTCCCTTTGTAGACTTTGTGTCACCTGCAAACCTGGTGGTAACATTTCTGTCATCCAAATCATTAACATATATTGTAAATAATTGTGGCCCCAGCACTAATCTGAGGCAGCTCATTATTTACAGGTTGCCAGCCTGAAAATGCCCACCTTCATCATAATTTTGCCTTCTATTCATTAGCCAATTCTCTATACATCACAACATACTAGCTGAAGATTGCTGTGTTCAGGAACTACCGTGGGGAAAATCCTGCCGTGATTTCCTAGAGCCGAGATGATTGATCTTCAACGCTGTCGCTCTGACAGAGCGACAGTCAGTCAGCCTGGCTGTCATGTGTGTCGCGGTCCCTCGACAATGAACCTCCCCACCTTCCCAACAGTGTGATGCGCTGCCTCGGCATTGACACCCACCCCGCCCAAACACCGACAGTGCAGCGTTGTCTCGGCACTGACCCCCCACAACAGTGTGGCGCTCCCTCGGTGCTCGTGAGTTTGGGATGCAACTTAAACCAAAGACCTCAGACTCCAAAGTGAGATTGGTACCCAGAGCTAGGTTTGCACATGTAAAATTCATTCTCTGCTCTCTCCTACTGCTCGAACAGACTTCACCAGCCTACAACTGCCATTCTACCTTTCTCTCCTCTTTTCATTTTCCTCCATTTTCTGATTAGCCACTTGCACAAGGTATTCGATGTACTCCTCACTCACCAATACCGTTCCTCGATGGGACAAAGGAACTTCCAGGCAATGTGTGCTGCGAACAGCCTAATGACAAGAGAAAAACAAATATCAAAGCAATTTGAGATTCAATAGAAGATGTTTAAGTGTAGCGTGTTTCCATTAAAGTAGCGACACTGCCACCTATGTCTTTTTGGGAGATGCTTAAATGTGTGCTTATACAGTCTTCAAATTACCCTGCCTTTCCCAGATCTTTGCTCTTCCTAGTTAATGTCGTTCAACTTACCTCAGAAGCATTCAGAGATTTCAGGATAACACAACAATAAGCAGCATGAGAAGGGCAGCTAGACACAGAGCTTGGAGAATTTTAAAGCTCTTTAAAATGTAATCTCATTTGAATTTGGCATTTATCACAACTCACTGTTAAAGTTAAGATGTTTTCAGTCTTTATTAGGATGAACAAGCTCCCTACTTGAAAGATCAGATCAAACCAGGACTCCTGTGGTCAGATCTGGTCTCCACACATGGTGATAGTGACCTTGGAGAATGCCCAGTTAAGAGCAATAAGATTGATTACTTGTTTAAAGAACCTCGGTAACTCAGAAGAGTACATGGTCCTTGGAACATTTAATGTAGAGTAGTTGTCACTTAGCAGTGACCTGATATGTCTATAAAATGATGGAAGAAGTGTATAGATTGACCTATTGATAGTTTTCCTCGATGTTAAATTGGAAGAAATTAAGGGACAGAAATTTAAACCATTAAGAGTAGGACTGAATGTTGGGAAGATCTTCATTTTGCTGGGAGTTGGGAACTTCTCAACTTGTTTCTGCCTGATGTAATGGCTGCTGACTCTGCCTGTTAGTTTGAGAGAGAGCTGGATCGGTTCTTGACTGAGATCTCATTGTTCCTGTGCTCTTCTGCACTGGTTCTGAGCGTCAGACAGATGGTGAGAGATGGGGGATTTTCTTGAGGGTGGTTCCTTGTATTAGCTCTAGGGCAGGGAGAAAAAAAGAAATCAATGAGGAATCAGGTGCTATCAGCAGGAGAGGCTGTTGTCAGGCCAGGTGAAGCTGAGGTGAAGCTTTTGTCATGTGTGTCAGTGGTAGTGTCTTAGTTTTATAGTTGGCCAGGAGCTACAGAAGATTTGAACGCTCCAACTTTCCCAGAGTAATTACTCAGTTAAGTGAATCAGAACAGAGATCTGAGTCAACATGTTGACTCTTAATTTAGATATGAAGTAACTTCAACCACTCCATTGTATTCAAGGTAGTTCTCTATTGTCTTCTTGGACAATTTAAGGACAGCATTGCCAGCAACATTCACAACCCAGTGTGCTGCAAACGCAAATAAGTAAAGCTACTGGATTTACCTTTGCATAGCTTTCCACCGTCAGTACATGTTCCTTGCTGTTTACCTTGCTAACATACAGTCACAAAGCAGACTGCAGTCCAGATATGTAATTCTGCTGCCAGCTTCCACACCAACAAACTAGTGTTTAGAGGATTAGCTGACAGAATTGGTTGACCATCCTGCCATCTGGTGGCACAGTGAGTAAGTGAACATTTGCTCTTCACTTTACACATGGCATCTACAGTGACAATTATCAGACTGGAAGCTTTGCCACGTCTTTTGCCAAAGACTTGGAAGACAAACCTCAACCCTAACCCTATCACCATATGGCAATATTAGCAGCAAAAGTGAACAACTGTAGCTCTTTGTCTGTGATGTCAAGATGATTGCCAGTGACGTTTACAGCGATGGCAGCTTAATTTGGTAGTAAACACCAGTGTTCAGGTGAACGATGACTTCAATAACAATGAAGAATGCAGAATAGAAAGTTGCTTCTTCAGTAACATGTAAAGTTATGAGTTAATGAGGGAAGTTCAGTTAGTATAGTTTATATGGATTGAGCAAAGCTTTTGACAAGATCCAACAAGGGAGACTAATTGACAAGGTTAAAGCACATGGAATTGAGGGAAATTTGGTGAGATAGATCAGAAATTGGCTTAATAATAGGACACAAAAGGGTAGTGTTAGAGGGTTATTGGAGTGACTGGAGGCTGGTGTCCAGTGGTGTACCACAAGGATCAGTACAGGGACACTTATTGTTTGATATTACATAAATGATATAGATGAAAATGTTGGGGGGTTGTTAAGCAAGTTTGCAGATGACACCAAGGTTGGTAGAGTGGTTAATAGCAAAGAAGATGGTTGTAGGTTACGGAAATATATAGATGGGTCAATCAAATGGGCAGACCAGTAGCAGATGGTACTTAACCCTGTTAAGAGCGAGGTGATGCACTTTGGAAGAAACAAGGGTGAATATTTAATGAATGGCAGGACACTGGGTAGCTTAGAAGAACACGGGGATCTTGGGTAATTATTCACAGATCCCTTAAGTCAGCAGAGTGTGTGAATAGGATAGTTAGGAAGAAGGTATATATGGAACACTTGCTTTCATCAGTCATGACACAGAGTATAAGAGCAAGGAGGTAATGTTGGAGTTGTATAGAGCATTGGTCAGGCCACAGCTAGAGGTCCGTGTACAGTTCTGGTTACCACACTACAGGAAGAATGTGATAACACTAGAGCGGGTAGAGGAGGTTCACCAGGGTGTTGTCTGGGATGGAGAGATTGAGCTACAAGGAGAGGCTTAGATTGTTTTCTCTAGAATAGAGAAGACAGAGGAAACATGATTGAGACATATAGGATTGTGAGGGGTATGGACATGGTGAGTACAGAGCAGCTGTTTGCCTTGGTTGAGGGGTCAATCACGTGAGGGCATAAAATCATAAGATATAGGGGCAGAATTAGGCCAATCAGCCCATCGAAGTCTGCTGTGCCATTTGGTCATGGTTGATATGCTCCTCAGCCCCATTTTCCTGCCTTCTCCTAATAACCCATTACCAATTTAAAATCTGTCTAACTCCTTAAATTTACTCACTGTTCCATTATCCACCACAGTTTGGGGTAGCGAACTGCATAGATTCACAACCCTTTGAGAGAAGTAGTTTCTCCTCAATTCTGTTTAAATTTGCCACGCCTTATCCTAAGATTATAACCCCTCATCCTAGAATGCCCCACAAGAGGAAGCATCTGCTCCACATGTATTTTATGTTTTCCCTTTATCATCTTGAATACCTCAATTTGATCTCCCATCATTCTTCTAAATTCCAGAGTATAGGCCTAAACTGTTTAATCTCTCTTCATAGGACAAACCCCTCATCTCTGGATCAATCTAGTGAACCTCCTCTGAACTGCTTCAATGCCACTACATCTTTCCTCAAATTAGGGGACCAAGGTTGTAGACATGCTTGCCGAACCAGTTGGTTTGGTTGCAAACATTTTGTCACCCTGCTAGGTAAATGACAATGTTACCTAGCAGGGTGATGAAATGTTTGCGACCGAACCCACAGGCTCGGCGAGCATGTCTACAACTTCATCCACAACTTGAGCTACAAATCTTCTCGAAAACTTCAAGAGAACCAAAACTGCACAATACTCCAGATGCGGCATAGTTTTAGGGTACAGGGCAAGAGATTCAGAGGGCATTTGGGGTAAAACTTCTTCACTCCAGCAGGTGGTGGGAATCTGGAATGCACTGCCTGGGAAAGTAGTGGAGGCCAGAAACCCTACAAACTTTAAAAAATATTCATATGAGCTCTTCAAATATCATAACATTCAAGGATATAGAAAATTGAGATTAACATGCCTTTAAGAGGTAGTTATGTCAGTGCAGATTTGATGGGCAGAAGGGCCTTTTCTGTGCTGTATGAATCCATGAATAGATTTCCTTACTTGTAAGATGCAAAAGTATTTGTAACATTTAATGATGCAATAGTGCCATATAATAATGTCAATGGAGTTGTACCCAAAGGCCTGCACAAATGCTGTGGATACACCAATGGAAGCAGGCAGAATTTAAATTCAATTAATAAAAAACATCTGGAATTAAATACCTTGACTAATGGTGATTACACAACCATATGGATTATTGGTAATCCTCACTTAGTTCACTCATGTCCTTTAGGGAAGCAAGTTTGCTCTCTTTACCTGGGGATTTGACTTAAGTGGGACTGCAAACCCAGAGCAATGTGGTTGACTCTCAAACACCTTCTGAAATGATCCTAGCAAGCCATTTAGAAGTGCGACCTTTAGAAGTGGTGACAAATGTCAGCCTTGTCAGCAACATCCACAACCCATGAGGGAATAAAAAGCTACAGGGTTGACAATCACATGATTTTTAAGCTAACATTTTTAAAGAACTAAAAGTGGCACGGAAGTCTTTTGTTTAAAAATGGAGCAAGTTGTGAACTGGAATGTGTTGCCTGAATGGGAAATGGAAGCAAATTCAGTGACAACTTTCAAAAAGGAATTAGAAAGGTACACTTTAAAAAAAAAAGTCTTTTGCGCAGCCTTCGAAAACAGCAGGGTTGTGAAACGAACAGCATGGCTCTTTCAAAGAAAGGCACAGAAAAATGGCTCAAGTAGCCACCCTCTGTGCTGCATCATTCTACGGGTATAACGATTAAGCACAAGAGGTCTCAGTGAGACAGGCCGATTACTGGGACACGGCCTTCCAGGGCTTAACCTGACCTGGGGAAGGGAGCTGCAGTGGCTCAACTGGAAGGCAGTGGAAGTTGCACAGTGCGGAATTCAATCATAGGGGTACAGAGCTCACTGATTACTGACATGTGGAAATCATCAAGGGGAGATTAGTTTAGATTGTGCTCAAAATGAAATTCTAATAGCCAGTACGTGTTTAACTTTCAGCCTTCATCTATGGAGAAGATAATATAAAACTAAAACGTGCAAATAACTTTTAACGCAAGACCACATTACCATCATTATTTTGCCTTTCTTGCCAACTGTGATCCCAGAGTTCCTGAAGCCAGAGCTTATAGCGACAGAGTGCTGTAATCCAGAACAGTCGCCAGTCAGTAAGACAGTAAAATAAAACTGTCCTGATTTAAAGTAGTTTTTTTAAAAATAACATTTTGACAGACAACACACTCATGTCACACAGAAATCCCAGATCAGAAACAAGCCATTTGGACCATCTAGTCTATGTTGATTCTCCAAAAAAGCCTTATCCTAGACCTTTATCATGCACTCAATCATCATTTCCTTTTAGTCCTTTCTATCTCATCTGTCTATCTAGCTTACTTGTAAATGCATTTATACTAATTCCCAAATCATTTCAATATTCCCATTACATTGATTAGATCAACATCTTTAAGGTGACAATTGACCAGAAACTGCATTGGACAAGTCATATAAAATCTCTGGATACAAGGGCAGACTAGGAATTTTGCAACCAGTAACCCACATCGTGGCTCCCCAAAGCCTGTCCAAGACCTACAATACACAAGTAAGGAAAAGGATGGAATATTCTCCACTTGCCTAGATGAGTGTAATTCCAGTAACACTCAAGAAGCTTGACGCCATTCAGGTCAATTCAGCATGCTTAATTGGCACCATATCCCCAAATACTCAGCACCTCCCTCCCCCCCCAACACCACTGATGCTCAGCAGCAGCAATGTATACCATCTACAAGATGCACCGGAGAAATTCATGAAGGTTCTTTCAAACCATGACAGCTATCATCTAGAAGGGTTTATGAAGAACGGTCTAGACCCGAAACGTCAGCTTTCCTGCACCTCTGATGCTGCTTGGTCTGCTGTGTTCATCCAACTCTACACCTTGTCATATCATCTAGAAGGACAAGGTTAGCAGATACATGGGGATACGACCACCTGCAAATTCCGCTCCAAGCCACTCAATCTGATTTGGAAATGTATCGCTGTTCCTTCATTGCCGTTGAGTCAAAATTCTGCAACTCCCTCCCCAGTGACATTGTGGGTCTACCTACACCAAAGAGACAGCAGCATTTCAAGAAGTTAGCTCACCACTCCTTTCTCAACAGCAACTAGGGATGGGCAATAAATGCTGGGCCAGCCATGATGCCTACATCCCATGAATGAATGTTAAAAAAATTAGAGCACTCCTCAATCCTCTAAACTCAAAAGGAATACAAACCAAAGTTACACAATATTTTCTCATAATTTAACATTAAAGGCTTACATTTTGGTAGGAGTAATAGTAAAAAGGATTATAGTAAAAAGGATTATAGTAAAAAGGATTATAGTAAAAAGGATTATTACTTGAATGGTAACAAGTTGCAGCATGCTGCTATGCAGAGGCACCTGGGTGTCCTTGTGCATGAATCAGAAGGTAGGTCTGCAGGTACAACAAGTAATTAGGAAGGCAAATGGAATTTTGTCCTTCATTGCTAAAGGGATTGAAATTAAAAGCAGAGAGGTTATGTTGCAGCTGTACAAGGTGCTGGTGAGGTCACACCTGGAGTACTGTGTGCAGTTTTGGTCTCCTTACTTGAGAAAGGATGTACTGGCACTGGAGGGAGTGCAAAGGAAGTTCACTAGGTTGATTCTGGGGTTGAGGGGGTTGGCTTATGAGGAGAGACTGAGTAGATTGGGATTATATTCATTGGAATTCAGAAGACTGAGGGGGAATCTTATAGAAACATATAAAATTATGAAGGGAATAGATAAGATAGAAGTAGAGAGGATGTTTCCACTGGCAGGTGAAGCTAGGACAAGAGGGCATAGCCTCAAGATTAGAGGGAGCAGATTTAGGAATTGAGAAGGAATTTCTTAACAACCCTCTGGGTGAATCTATGGAATTCCTTGCCCAGTGAAGTAGTTGACGCTACTTCAGTAAACGTTTTTAAAAAAAAGGTAGATTTTTTGGAACAATAAAAGGAATTAAGCGATATGGTGAGAACGCGGGTAAGTGGATCTGAGTCCACGAAAAGATCAGCCATGATCTTATTGAATGGCGGAGCAGGGTCGAAGTGCCAGACGGCCTACTCCTGCTCCTAGTTCTTATGTTCTTGTCATTCGGGTGGATCTGCTCTGCACCTGTCCAAGGCCTTATATCCTTCTTGAGTTGCAGTACCCTCGCTCAGGTGGGTCAGATCAAGGCATGGTATACTAAAGCTTCACTTCTTTTTTGCATTCCAGAATTTTTCAGACAAATGGCACCATTTCATTTAGTGTGGATGATTACTTTTTCTACAATGAAGCAGCAAGGGGTTTGTGTCTCGGGTAACTCAGCAACCAATTCTTACCAAGAGCTGTGCATCCTCTATCTTCCTGCACTGGACATGGAGAACAAATGGCTCAAATTTAAACACGGCATTACCCTCTGCTTTTTGCAGCCCTGCAATCTAAAGGAGAATGGAGAAAGAACAAAATGCATAAACAAAAAAGGTAACACTAGCTCACACCAAAAATAAATCTAAACTTGCTCCTGAATATTAGTACAATTCCATCCGTCGTAAAACTCTGAAAAAGACAGAGATCCTAGGTTTTAAGAACTTCTGCGTCTTTTGCCAGTCAACTTCAAACAATATCCCCTGGATAAAGACCCCTCTGCCACTGGAAGCTGTTTCCTTGTGCATACTCTGTCAGAACCCTCGTGATTTTGAACATCTCTTATCAAGTTAAAAGATTGATAAGAGATGTTCAAAATCACGAGGGTTCCGACAGAGTATGCACG